CAGGGGTCTGTCTTAGGTTTAACATCTTCATTAATGATTTGGAGGATGGGATCAAGTGCATGCTTAGCAAATTTGGGAATAACACCATGTTGGGCAGAGCTGCAGACACTCTGGAAGGCATAGCTAGGATCCAGAATGGTAGAACAGTAATCAGAGGAAATTCAACAAGGACAAGTGCAAAGTTTTGCATTCAGGATGGAATAATTGCATGCACAAATGTAGACTGGGGAACAAGTAGCTAGGCTGCCACACTGCAGAGAAGGACCTGGGAGTTACAGTGGACCAAAAACTGAATTATGAGCCAAGTGTGCTCTTGTTGCAGACAAAACCCACCAGCATTGTATTAACAAATGTGTCAATTGCAAATCAAGGGAAGTAATTTTTCTATTCTATTCGACACTGGTGAGGCCTCACCTGTGTCCAATTTTGGGCCCAACACTTCAAGAAGGATGTGAACAGATTGGAAAGAGTTCAGTGCAAAGGAACAAAAATAAGAGGTCTGGAAAACATGACTTACAGGCAACCAAGGGGGGAATCTGATAACAGTCTTCATATTCCTGAAGGGCCATTATGAAAAGAATGGAGATAGATCAGGGCTATCCAACTTCTAAGTGGCTTAAGGCTGCACATCTCTTAGGCTGGATTTGAAGGGGTTGCATCAGTAGGGGCCATGCCCCCACCCCTGTTGCTTCTCACACCCCCTGCTGCATTGTTTACATGGGTGCCTCCCTCCAGCCATGAGTAAGGTGCCTTCCCACTGCACCATATGCCAGGGCAACCCCCTACTTCACTGTGTGCGTAGGCAGTGGTGACATGTAGGAGGTGCAAGTGCACCCCCTGAGAGTGCTGATGCACTCCTTGACAGCAGGGGGGGAGGGGGCAGGCGAGAGTGCTGGTGTCCCCCCGAAAGCACCAGCCAGGGAGAGGGGGCACCAGAAGAAGTGATCCCTGTGGGCCAATTGTGCCAACTGGGTGGGAGGGAGGGATCCCACAGGGCCAATCATGCCAACCCAGCTGTGGAGGGACCCCCCGGGTACTGGCTACTGGGGTGGGGGCAAGTGCCCCCGCTGACTCAGGAGGCACCAGTTACTCATGTGCCCAGGTGCAATCCTTGCTGCACTGAATGACCCCCAGATGCTGCCCCTGTGCTCCTCCACTGCACTGCACACCCAGGCAATGACTCACCCCTAGCTCTCTGAGCTCCCTCACAGCACCATGTCACTTGGACACCCTGGACTACAGGCTCCCCCTGAGCACTGCAGGCTATGCTGCACTGCACTGTCTTATCCCCCTAGAGCAGGAGCAGGGGTAGGAAGAGGAATCCAGAGGGAAGGGAAACCCGGAGCCCCCCCCCAGCTACTGCTGTTGCCAGAGCAATAGGGAGAGCAATGGCTTTGTACTGCAGCCAAAGAAATTTAGGCTGGAGATTAGAAAACATCATTATGATGCTGGTCAAGGATTGGAATAAGCTCCCAGCTAGAGAGACATTGTGGAATTTCCATCCTTTGATTTTTTTAAAAGCTAAGTTAGACAGAAAGGTGGCTTGAGCAGGTGGCTGGACTAAATGACATCCTGAGGTCTCTTCCAGCCCTACTTTTCTATGATTCTAACTGCTGCAGTGACCATGCTGGAGAAGAGAAAAGTTTGGCTCCTCTCACATGAGTGATATTCAAAACGGAAGAATGGAGAAGCTTTAACAGTATGAGAAACACAGGAAGCCAGAACATTAAAATATATATAATAAATGGGTGTCAGAATGTATGGGCATGTTCTACATGCTAGTAACTGTTTTAGAACTAGTTCATGTCAAACCTGTTAAAATTGCAGTGCAAACCCCTGATGTCAAGAGTCAAGCCCAGGCGTCTTTACACATGCTCCGGGGTGGGTGCTTTAATTAGAGCTTCTCTTGGAGGCTGCTGTAATTTAAGTGCCCACCGCATCTTGTGTATTCAGTGCCCTGTGTTTCAAAATGGTGGCGGAGACAATTGAACCAAAACTCATTTGATAAGCTTCAGTTAAAGCGGCCCCACCACCACTTTGAAGCACAGGGACTCTGAATACACATTACACCAAGGCTGCTGGAGCATGCTAATCAAGATTAATTGAGTCAGCTCTGATGCTTTCTAATTAGAATGCATCACAGCAGGCATCGGGCATGTGTATAGGTGCCCTTTATAGCCAGCGCTTATAGCCAGTACAACTCCCACTAGTTTTAAAAGGGGTTACACAGTTTCCCCAGGGCAAGCAAGATGAATAAAACTGAGGGTGAAATTGAGTATCTAATTTATCTCCATTCTGAATCACAGGACAATGCTGTTCAGGAAAGATACCAATGCTATCTTGGTAGCAAGAGATGTTCCCTAAGAAATGAGGGGCTTGATGACATTAATATTAGAAAGTAAAAGGACACCAGGTGTCAAGTACACAAAAAGGTATCCAAATTGAACTTTGGGTATGGATTTCAATATAAAACTTTTTTGGGGTTGGGACATAAATTACACAAACTGGTATAAGTGATGAGAAATCAGTTCAAATCTGTAACACAACAGAAGTTCAGTTCACATAAATCACTTTCAAAATGGCCAAAAGCAGTTTAAGATAAACCTGGAGGGGTGTAGTATCAGACTTAACTGATTTAGGTTAAATTGGTTTATTGAACTTCGGTCCCAGATCCCATCCAGATTCAAGTTAGTCCATTCATAGTCCCCCAGAATCTGAGGATGCTTTGCAACTCCCCTAAACCTCCCTTCCCCAACAGGGTGGATTAGCTATTCTTGGCTCAAGCTGTCTGCTCCAGCTGACCAGGGAGGCATGTTGTAGTGCCCCGCAGCTTCAGGCCTGGGCCATTACAAGGCATGTGGCTGTGTTTCTGGAATCAAGAGTGAATGCCTGTTCACTTGCTTATTGGTTCAATCTATGCAGCTTAAATAAACCTGCAAAGACTGAATTGATTCAGCCTTGTGCTTTTTGATTGTCTGTATTTAGCTTAAGAAATGAGGGGCTTGAAGCCACCAATACTAAAAAATAAAAGGACAATAGGTGTCAAGTACACAAAAATGTATCCAAACTGAATTTCAGGTATGGATTTCAATACAAACTTTTCCTTGTCACTAGACATTTGAAATTATACCATTCTTAGAGCGTTAGTCACTGCTTCTTAGCATTATTACATTTGATTTTTAGGCATTAATTAAATTTAGGAGTCTGAATCACTAATGTGCAATTTGTTTAGTGCAACCCCCCTCCCCCCAGTATTTTCAGGAGTTTGTCCATTTTAATATTTCATAATCCTTCAAATAACCAGATCCAGAATAGAAACATGCGAACAGTCCTATTAAGGAAATAATACCTAACCCTTAAGGTTTATGTTGGTTTAAATTAATTACTTTTTCCTTCCTGACAAATAAATAAATCCTCCGTGCTACCTTCTCCTAATCTCACATACAGAGGACAGTCAGCAGTAACGACAGGCTAACTGAATCATACTCAAAGCAAGTATACCTCAGGGCTCCCACCCACTGCACTGTCTCTTGTCTCGTTTATAGGCAGAGCAAGCTAGCAGGGGTAAAGTAGTTTCATGAGACTGTCACTGAGAGGCAGATACAATTAGATGACCAATGAGCTGCTTTCTTGTTTTGGTCTCACACTAGCACAAGGTAAAGGCAATAACAGAAATCATGTCATCACACCATGCAGTGTTGTCTTTCACCCTCAGCACAGTGAAAGCTGGTAGCAACAAGGCCCTATATTGACTCCCTGTTCCCTTAAGCACTGAGTCCCTGTTCCCCCAAGCACTCCCGGGAGTTACAAGAAACAATGGACACAAGTTAGCAGAGGGTAATTTCAGGCTAGACATTAGGAGATGCTATTTCACTGTCAGGGTGGCTAGGATCTGGAACCAACTTCCAAAAGAAGTGGTGCTGACTCCTACCCTGGGGGTCTTTAAAAAAAGACTGGACGAACGTCTGGCCGGGGTTGTTTGACCCCAGTACTCTTTCCTGCCATGGCAGGGGGTCGGACTAGATGATCTCCTCAGGTCCTTTCTGACCCTACCAACTATGAAACTATATTTTCTGCTCTACCAAAATCTTAGTCAAGCCCTCCTCCTGAAACAAAATTTGGAAGATATATATCAAGCAGTCTATTTAGCAAGTGAAGAATACCCCCTGTGTACCTGATACATAACCACTTACCACTATTGTAAGGGACGTTCAATGTGCAGTCCCCTCAAGCTCCAGTGAGAAGTTTCTAATAAAGTGAATAGACTGACCCCAAATCTAACAATGCTTAAATGCTCAGGTGCTGTGTTTAGTGATGGTGTCAAACGTCACTTCCTGCTGGTCACCATTGCTGGCTTAAGGTGAAGACACAGTAGCAACTTCACAGATAAGACTGAAAGGACATCTCTGAGCATTGCTTAATGCTTAAAGTGCACAACTGGAAGCCAACAGATAAAAATTTGGGTTGCTGGCTTTGCTCTATAGTTGCACGTTGTGCTCCACTGACTGAAATTCTAAGTACCTGAATTTTCCTGTATGTGCAGTGAAATAATTACAGATGTGCAGGAACTGGATTACCCAATCCATAGGAACTTCCACAACTTGGACCCCCCCCCGACCCGAACACAGAAACTTGGCCCCCCCCCCCCCACTTTATAAAATGAAAACAACCCCCCAAAAATTTTCCCATTAAACTTCATTAAAAGGTCATCCAAGATCAATGACAATGCCATTATGATAAAAGTTAAACATTTAATTTTGATTTTTAAAAAGCTTTGGCTAAAAATATTTGAATAGCAAAAATCAAAAGTCAAATATCTGGAATTAGTACTTAATTCAATAGATACATGTGTACATGAGTGTGTATATGTACATGTGTGTGTGTATTTTTGTGTGTGCACATGGTTTAAACTGATGCAAGATTACTTTAATTGCAAGCTTTCAGGCACAAACACCCTTCATCAGGCATTGGAGAAAAGATTGTAAAAGTTCTGGGTAGAAATGAAAGTTCATATTTCACAGGATTTCGCAGAGGAATCAATACGTGGAAAACTCCACTAGGCAGTCAGTTCATAGCTGGTATGGAGCATCTCACCTCTTGTGAGGTTCTGTGATGATGCAAATCACCTTGAAACAAAGACAGGAGCAGGATCACAAGTTTCAGGTGGGCACAGCTGCTTCCTGTTTGGGAAAATATGAATATTTCATTTTTAAAAATCAGCTAAAATTCAATATTCCATGTCAGGTAGTCAGGCTGTAGCTGCATTGGTCTAGAGGAAAAGGCAATCAGGACTCGTAGTAGAGATGATATCTTTTATTAGACCAAAAAGATTTTTGCAAACAAATTCTTTAATTGCAAGCTTTTGGGCACAAACACCCTTTGAACTGGTGTGCAAAGGCGTGCCATAACCCCCCTCTCTCCTTATGAAAACTATTACTTTGCTTTCCACAAGAAATGGTGTTTTGTCTTGCATTTCTTATTAATTCTGCAGGACTCGACTGTTTGTAATAGTGATAGATTAGTGAAACTGGCTTGAGTCAAGCATTGCAGTGCTCACCACACAGCTCTACCAATGCCCCTCAGTCATAGACTACAACACCCTAAAGCCAAAAGCTCTCTCTTGAGCCGACTTCAAATCCAGTTAGAGTTACACTGTTTCTGTCTGCTCAGCACTGAACAAGAGTGGTGCATAAGCAGTGCCAGGAACAAGCGTGAGAGGCCAGACCATAGAGTCACACCTGAGTCACAGTTCCTTCCTAGCCCCACTCCCTTCCTAGGTGCAATGAGAAATTTCACAAACTGTCAGCATTGTACCAGACTCAAAATCTGAGCTCTGGATTTAAGTGTGAGGGCATTACTCCACTTTACTTGCCTGCACGGACCAGTCAGGCTGTAACAATCAAGCTCACAATGAATTTGGCCTGGGGTCTCCTTCGAAGCCATGTTGGATCCTACCCTACAGCTTCATTTGCTATTTCCCATAGTGGTTCTCCACATGCCAAATTTTAGCAAACCACATGCTTGTGAAAGAATTCTGATGAAGAGCTCCAGAAAGCACAGTGTTTTCTTTACCAACGTTTGAAACAGCCATGCCAACTTTCTATGAGGTAGGTTATGCCATAAATCTCTATTGGAGGGTTTCTTCCTCTGAAGCTACAAGTGCTGGCCATGGACAGGACTGTACATTAGGCTGACCTCAGGCCTAATCCAGCATCGTGATAGCTCTAAGGCAGTGGTCTCCAACCTTTTTAAGTAGGAGATCACCTTTGGCATTTCAAAGCAAGCCAAAATCTACTGTGAGCCACCCTCCCCCCCACCTCCCCCATGCCCAGCAGGTAAGTCTGTGGGGGAGGGAATGGGGTGTGGGGCAGATCGAGGCAGAGGGAGAAAAAATTATTTGGAAGGTAAGTCGCATCCAGCCAGGGCCCCACTCAACTTACCTCTGCGGCACTGTCCCTCACTGCGATGACCTCAGTCTAGCCCCCTCCCCTTCCCTCCCATACGGACTGACCTGCTGGGCCGGAGGCACATGCGTGCATGCATGCGGGCACTCAGCCCCGCACCCCAGCCTCAGATCAACTCCAAGAGGCCCCGAGATCTATTGGTGGATCGAGATCCACTGATTGGTGACCACTGCTCTAGGGTCACCCCTACCCATCTGCTGCAACAGTTCATTGCCCTTCTAGTCTCCTGCCACCACCATAGCTATTTGCACTCACTGGTCCTTTCTCTTCTTTCTCTGACCCCTGCTGGGAGTCAGGTCTTTCAATATTTATACTCCTTGGAAGACAAAATGCTTTAAAGTATTGCATCATGCTCACACAAGCACAGCTCTGTGGTTCAGGCTGTAGCCAGATTACAGGAGACTGTGGGTACGTCAGAAGGGGGAAACTAAGAGGAAAATAACCATGCTGCCTCCTGCTAGTTTGGACTACCATTCACACCTCCAAGTAGAGCTCTTTGCCAGTGTTATTCCGTGTTTGTATACGGAATCACATTTGGGACTTTGATCATCCCAAGCCAAGAAAGCTCCAAAAGCAACAGGCAGCTCAAGCATGCTCAGCCAGAAGGAAGAAAAACACTTCTTCATTTACAAATGTCCCTTCCAAATAGTGTCTGGGCCTGTGGTTTAACACCTCCTCCTGACTCCCCAAACTGGGCTGAGCTCTGTTTTCACCTCTCAGACATGTTGATCCAGTGTTCTACCACCTCCTCCTAGCTGCTTTGCTTTAGTGGCCCCATGATTAACAACTCCTATGCCATCTTGCCAAGGAACAACAAACTGTTTCTACAGTTTAGCAATTTTATCACACATCCTTCCCCCAGATACTTAAGGAGAGAGAAACACCTCAAAGCAGACCTTGGATGTTCTAGACCAAGGCGCTCTAGAGATGTGGAAAGCCAAAATAAAATAAAACAAAGCAAGAATATATTTCAAAAGGTATGGTAGGGTATATTGTTCACAACACTGAAACTTTCAGAATTGTTTTCTAATTTTTAATGATCTTCTCATATGTAGTTAGGGGATATCTAAAGCTTGTAACAGGAACAGAGCAGCTTCTGCCCCCCTATACCATATTTCTTGCACCTAATGGCTGTACCCAGATGAGCGCAGCTGTGTGGTGTGGGGCACTGCAGACATCTGCAGAGCCACATACCATGCATTCAGGTGTTCTCTGCACTGTAAAGGAGCAGTGCAGGGTTTTGGGGGGGGTTTTTACCCCTGGATATCCAGGGGTCAAAAAACCCGTGCAAAAAAATAGCGGAGCAGAGCACGTGGGGTCAGCATATGCCGCTCAAAACCAGAGCCTGGCCAGTCAGAGCCACACACGGGCTGCTGGCCAGGCTCCGAGCAGCAGGATCGCTGCTGCAGCAGCCCCAGGAAGCCCTCAGGACAGGCTGCTCGGGCCAGCCCAGTGCTGGCCACAGCCTCCCCTACCCCACCTGGGATAAACTTGCTGTGTGCCAGATGGTGTGTAGTACAGGTGTTCCCCAGGGACAACTAGCAGCGGCACGCCTTGTGCACCAGGTGTGTTGCTGCTAGTTGTCCCTGGGGAACCAAACATCCACTTTGGTGTGGATGTGGCCAGTGTGCCCAAGAATAAGATACACACCTTGTTTTTGAAAGGCAGAGTGAAGGAAAAATGATCTTTCCTTGTAGTAATTAACTGAATAGCAGCAGCTCAGGAGCTGAAGCCTGTTTGTTGTTCTGTTCCTTGTGGAATGGTGCAGACTTTATGTTCCCTTTTGCCTGGTAAGCGGCAGAAACTGCTCTTACCATATTTCTCACATATGATGCACACTCTCATTTCCAGCAGATTTTGTTTTATTGGGGGGAAGGGGGTGGGAGGCGAGTTATATACAGCATGCAAGAAAATGTGGTAATATCCCCCAAAGCAATTAGATACAAGTCACCCACAGAGAAGAGAAAAGAGAGAAGAGAAAGCTAATTTAGATCCATTTACATGCAAGTTTTCATTCCTCTTTTGCTGGTGCTGAAGGAAACATTTACTCTCTGACTATTTACTTAATTAGAAAAGGCTGTTGTGTACCTTCAGCTATTTAAATAGTGGAGCAGATGGGAGAGCGGGGAAAAGGGCCGAGAAGGGTCTCACAGCTTAAACATCTTCAGTTCTAAAACAGAGATGCAATTTGGCAAGCTCTAAATGCAAAAGGCCCTTTGCTTGCTTACCGTACTGTAGACCAGCTGCCTTCTCAGGATGAAGTGATGGTGACAGTAATAGATACTAGCAAACATGCTCTGACATTCATTTGATGAACTGGCATAATTCCATATGGAAGGATATAGAGCTAGGTGCAAACGTGCATATCAGAACTCTCTGTACTAGAATTTTAGATCCACAGCCAACCGTCTTGGTTCCAACCTGCCAGACTGTCTATGACATACCACACCACAGTGCATATACGCTACAGTAATCCGAGTTAGATTTTCAGAAGGACTCAGTTCTAGTCTCTGAGTTTCAGCCATAAATAGGTACCCCAATTTTCACCCACAATTAAACTGTAGACACAAATTGTGCCCCTAAAAGTTTCTATATCCTTTTAAATATGTGGTCTCCAATTCCTAGTTAGTTGAGTTCAGACTCAGAGGTAGACTTACTCCCTTGCTATCTTCTATATCCCCAAATGAATTGTGTTAATTGGCATCATTGGTATAGAGATGGACATTGCTATGAAAATCATGAATTCTAAATCTGGAGATTGGGGGGGGGTTGGGGAGGGGGAAGCAGGTGAACTATGTGATTATTTAAAAATCTGGGGTCTAATTTGTACTTTCATGGGGTAGCATGATTGTCTTCAAAGGAATTATGCCTGACTTACATAGGTGTGAGATCAAAACTGGGCACATAAAAAGAACTTTATAATTCAGTTTTAGCACTTTTGTTTCCTATCAGCTTGGGAGCACTTTAAATAGCATCTAAATGGTATGTAAGAAACAGAACGAGCCAAATTCATCTCTGATGTAAACCCACTGCAGCTGATATCGTTACCCGAGAAACAAATTGTGTCCATCATGCTTTTCTTAGCTGTGTTATGAAATACACACATCCACTGAAAATAAACGGATGTTTTGACTGAAAATAGATTTCACCAAGGAAACGCTCAATCAATTTTAGCACCCATTTTAGCTAGGGCAAAAGCAGAAGCAACATGGACATGTGTACGAGGCAGAAACCAAAGCAAAGCAATAGATGGATGCATTCTTTTAGTGGTTTACATAGCTATGTCTTGAGTGACCAGAATCCATGTGCTGTTTGGGAATGAGTGAACACTTTACAGTCAGGCAATATATTTATTAGAGCTATTATTGCCTTTACCAGCTGCAAAGTGTTCTAAATCACATGTTCATTGCCTCATGGGTCAGGTGCATCCTGACTGAGAGGTAATGATGGATGTGGAAGTTTGTCGTGGGATGAAGGGGGTTGGTTGGGGGTGATAATTGCACCCAGAGAGCAAGATTGTTCACCTGACTTTGTTTAGCTCTGTGCTATATACAGGTGGAGATATGAAAGAATGATTGACATTTATTCAATGTCAATAATGAAAGAGACAACATCTTAGATTATGTGGATAAATTCTCTTGGGTAGTCATGATTCTTTATTCATGTGCTTTATGTAAATGAAGTGAATGTTCACAATGTATAAATTTGGTTGCCAG